AGGAAGTTACTTTCCTTTTTATCTACCAGTACTCTTTTACGTCATTTTTCCATACGAATACATACTACCGTCATCACGGACGCATCTCCCGTTGGAATTAGAGCTGCGTTTGAGCAGAATGATCATCTGGTGCTGTGCATCTCACGCAGGCTCACGGCTACCGAACGTGGGTATTCCCAAACTCAACGAGAAGCTCTAGCTGTCTATTGGGCTGTCTCGCATATGCACAAGTATCTTTATGGTACTCATTTCACTATTGTGAGTGATCATGAAGCCCTGCAGTTCATTTACAACCCTCAACGTCCCCTGGCTAAGTCATCTGCAGCCATGGTGCAACGATGGAGTATTGCGTTTCTGCCTATTCCTATGGCATCCATCATCGCAGTGCGCATTCCATCCCACATGCAGACTACCTATCATACTACGCCATTTCAGAGGAGGCTTCTCCTCACTCAACCGCTCCGGGAAGCCGATCTGATTTATTTCGCGAGACCAAAAAACATTACCACGTTATCATTTCCCGTGTCCGTCGAGGTTGGCGAGGTGATATCAAGCGTCGANTGTGATGTGTGACGGTGTCTTGTGCTACAATGATCACATTATCGTACCTCCGACATAACGTACTGCTGTTCTCAATGACTTACATTCCGGTCATCTTGTCATTGAAAAGATGAAATCTCTTGCTCGTCTCACATGCTGATGGCCTGAATTTAATCATGATCTGAATCGTGTTGCAAAATCCTGTGCTGAATGTGTGCACAAAACTCACAGACAACCTTCGAAATGGACTGCGTGGCCAGTATCTTCCGAGTCATGGCAAAGAATACATGTGGGTTACTGCGGTCCATTCTTCAATACGTATTACACATTGGTGATCGTCGATTCCTATTCCCGTTGGCCAGAAGTGTACTTTACCACAACTCCCAGTTCAAACTTTCCTATTGGAGCACTCAGGAAAACGTTCAGTAGGGAAGGTATCCGGCATACTATGGAAGTCGTTTTACTACCAAAAAAGTTACCGATTGGTTGGACTCCGTGAGTTGTTGACATGTTCTCACTCCACCCCGACATCTGCAATCCAAAGGCGCAGCCGAAAACTTTGTGCGCACGCTGAAGAGTGCCATTGCTTCCTTGAATCCCAGCACATTCCATGAACTTTACAGAGACGTTGATAACTTTCTGATGCAATACCGTAACGCAGTACATTCAACTACGGGACACAGTCCAGCAAAGCTGCCTAAGAGTCGGGCACTTCGAACAAATCTTCTATACTTGGAGTCTGCGGAAGTCGTGTATCATCGTGGTACCGATTAACGACCCTCCAGGGGCATTGTACTAGACAATATGGGACAAAGAGTATGTCGCATATTGAATCTAGACGATGGCACTGTACATTGTAGACATGTAGACCAAGTAATTTGTAGTTCTCCCAATCCCGATACTAGTTATGAACTTACTAATTCTTTCTTTTTCTGAGTCTTTTCCAGATGAATTACATCCCAGTACAAATGTCGAAAATAGTACAGAAGAACCGAGAAGATCTGAATGATTACTCAACAAAGCCCACCGTGATTACAGAAAACCGGAGCTTCATTTAAGCTGCACCGGATGTGGTGATTGCTCATGAACTATGAACTCTTTTGCTTTATTGAACACGATACCCTTATACATTCCGAATTTCCGCTTATTACAGTTCCATTCCGTCGTTCAGTTCCGTGTTCTGCTTTTTTTTGAGTCTTAGTTCTTGGTTGGACTATCACTGCGCGGAATCCGATACGTGTCAAAATTACTATTCCGAGTGCTAACTACAACATTGTAACAACCGTGTTCAGATTTCTCGTGTCTTTCAAATCGCATGCGCTGAGTTACTGCTCGTTAACCTGGCATTCAATAGTTATAGTGGTATAATTTTCCGATTACAACGAGAGACATGCATTTCATACAAGAACAAAGCAGGCGTGAAAAAACAATGCCATCATATAGAACATAATGAAATGCCTAAACGAAGTCATAGTGCTTGTAAAAAGGAATGATATTGCAAAATTGTTGCTTGTAATGTGTTGTTGTTATAATGCTCCAACACAATTTCAATTACAAGGTCATCATGGAAATTTGAGTGGTACATTAACGACCTTGGAAACTTGCCATTCCGTTTGAGTGTGAGTTGTTTTCATGTCTCACCGTAACACTGCATTTTCCTTCCTTACAGTTTGTCAGTCTCTATGGACAACATCCTGTTTGTGGACGGCTCCAGCCCACATCTAGACTCGGCTCACATGCGTTTGTCTGGTGTATCCCTTCCCGGGGGACATCCTGCTGCATACCCGAGCCAAGCACATCATATTACATTTCCACGGAATGACCAAGTATATGCTAATGTATATAGAGATGAATAAAGTTTGAAGATAACAAAATTTTCGAGCATACCATAGTAAATGGGAAAAAAGCGCCCGAAATCTGATATAAATGTTCTTATGAAAAGTGATACAAAGGAGCCTCATGAAGGTAGAAAAATTGAGTAAGGTCAGTTTGGGGTGACATACTTACTGGTTTATACAATTAATTATTGCATACCACAGATAAAATAAGCATTTAATTACCAACTGATCAGTTTTTTGTAGAACAGAGGCTATAAACAAATTATCTCATCGATGGCGATTGCCATGACACAAGCCTCCGAATCGAGAGTTCAAGTAATTTATCGCGGAAATCTGGTTTATTGAGATGCACCGAGTACCAGTTATTTGAGGAAAATACACGAACACCGATACATAATTAGTTATCTGTTGACCCGATGCCCGCCACATTTCCATTTGGTGGGAATAAAAAACGTGATCAACTTGTTGGCTCTCGTTAGACATCCTACTAAGTTCTCGATTGCTTGAGTGCTTTTGGCGGCATATTTGAGGTTTGTTATCTTTACATTTTATAAAGACTTCCTTATCTAGTAAGGTGGAACACTGTGGATTAATCGTATTTTGTTTGTAGATTCGTATCCAATTTGGCCACGCGTCACTCAATTGCGGTTTGGCTGGCGTATAGTTGAGTGTTGAGGCTAAGTACACTGTTCAATCTGTGTGACTCGGGGACGCTGTCTCAAACCTTACGTGAGTTGGACAACCATTTGGTGAGGCAGAAGCCTCCCATATTCAGTGGATTATTTAACTGCGTTAGTTGTTGAGGAACTGATTCAACATCGTCGAACGCATTTAGAAAATCTTTGTCATAGAAGTTACTTTAAAAGCTGGATGACACAGAGACTAAGGATTCTTTTTCGTATTGTAATGCGGATCTCACATAAGGTCGAGCAGAGTGATCCAAACGGGTGAACGGTTAACCAGTAATTTACTGTGTAAGGTAAGTTTCCATGGGAGGAGAGTTACGTGGCAAGCTTCTGAAGCCGTCTGCCTTCCCACCGCTCTTCATTCTCATAACCCATTATTTACCCTTAGCACCTGGTTGGAAGTCTCAAAGTTCTCTTGCTATATAAAGCTTTTTGTTGAATTTTAGTGAAATATCTATAGCTATTTTACTTCTTTTGCACTAGAAACATTTAAGTGCCTTGTATTTCAAGTGCTGAACCTTTGAGCGGTTCATGGGGGTTGTAATTGAGTCATTTTAACCGTTTACAGTTGTGTTCGCAAACCTTTTGGGCTAAATTACCCGTTGTATCTGTTTTACCCCAATGGTTTGTTCCTAATTATTGCACTATTTTCAATGATTTGCTCGCAGGGTATAAATCATTGTGAAGTTACTAGTTGCAATTTATACGTAGCAGAGGGTATTCAGTGCAATATATACCAAAAATGGCATCATCAAAACGTTGCTTATCTGCGGTGAGTTGGCGCCAAGTTGAAATTTTTGAGTGCTCACTCTGA